CCTTCAGCGTCTCAGTGATGCTGTAGCCCGGCGGCCGATTCTAATAGCAGTGTGCGGAGACCAAGAAAATGGGCTCAAAGCTAGAGTCAGCTGGCGCTAGCTCAAAGAAGGACATTGAGTGACACTCAGTGAGTCACTAGTGAGCTCACGGATGACCTGGCAATTCTGTATCTCTGGTCACCTGTGGGACCGTCGCACCGTGGATTGAATCGGACCACAAGCGATTGACGACCAGGTTGAGCTGTGCCTTGAAGGCCTATGCCGCAGATTCGATCATTCAGGCTCTTAATCCGTGCACTTGATCCATGCGGTTGCGAAGGGAGGCTTAACGTAAAAATGACCTCCATCCTATATAATATATATATATATAATAGCAATGGCCTCCCACCGAATCGTGGGCTTGGCTTACGTAGAAATTCGATTCTGTGAGTTTGGGTTTTTGGTTTTCCAGCTTTGTGCGGCCCAGCTTTGTGCATGGTGCAGATGATCATGGAGAAAAAAGAGAAGTTGGACCAGAGAAGATCGTTCTTGTTGGGTCCCCGGAACCCGATTCCATCGATTGAGCCCACGAAAAACCAGGCGATTCACAGGACTTCCTGGTGACGAGACCTCTTCCTTGCCAAGGTTTCTGTCCTTTGGCGGCCTGTTCCAGGGTGGCTTTCAGTATTTTATCTGGAATGCATCGGCCCAAGCACAAATATTGTGGAGAAGCTTGACTGTGGGCCATGAAGGACGTTTTGAGTGGCTTGCGCTGCGTGTATTGCTTTGTATATTTTTGTCGGACATGTATTTTCAAGCTGCTGGAAGCGTGCGCACGCAAGCGCTTGACACAGAGGTAGTTTTTGAAAGCCTGTGGCCCGGTCGAAGCAGATATGCAAGCATGTGCAAGCTTGCCGCTTCTTGGCAGATTTGGCAGCGCAAAGACATCCTCCTCGTTTTGTCCATCTTAAGCGCCACGAGTTTGAATCATTAAAGTGTTGAGGCTACGAATTTGATCTCTGACCCTTTTTTCTTCTTTCCCACCTTCTACATCATGAAGGAGGCCGATTTGTCAAACCTCAACTTCTTTTGGTGTCAGCTTCGAACACGTGTTCTTCCGCCAGGCATGTGTAGAGGGCGGCTCACATGGCCCTCTAGAGACAACCTCTGTGGCTTTGACAAAGCCTGAACCTCGTGGCAAGAGAGTATGACCATCAAGAGGAAGCAACTGCTGTAACACATCCTTCTGTCCTTTCCATTCCTTTCTGATCTGATATTTTGGAACAGAGCGAAGATGATGCTATCGCGGGTTCCAAAGCTTTCAATTCAGTCCACCACCGACCCGGTTTCTTGTGCTCACCCGGCCCCAGGTACGGAGCGAATATCCACAAGGACATGGCAATGAGTTGGACGTTTTGGCTACCCGGCACGGAGCCACAGCAGCAAATTCAACCAAACCAGAGACAAGATAAAGGTGGCACACCTGCGGCTGAGTCCGAATTCTCCAAGGTCACTACGTCACATATTTTTGGTCTGGAGCTTTGCATCTTACGGTTTTCCCGAGTGTGAACGTGCGGAACCTTTCCTGTCAAGTGTTCATATGCCTTAAACCAACTTATATACATAAATAAATCCAAACATGAATAGATTGGATAGACTTTCTGGCCGTTCCATGCGAGTCAGCACCGAAACGCACAGGCTACCTGTCCACCTCCGAGTGTTGGAGTCTTAGAGTGGGCACCGTCTACCTCAGTATATCCGGATGGGCAGTGGAATCGGCTCGTTGGGAGCAGAAACGTTCTTCCAGGCCCTGGGTGGCCTGTGCTTCCTTCATGTATATTTGCCCGGGATCCCAGCACCTCAGGGCTGAATCCCGCGAGGGCAGCACGAAATCTCTGAGGTGTGTTGAGCCATGCCAGGCGCACGAGACAAGTGCTCCAAGAACTGCCACTGGTTGAAGTAGATTTGTCTCGGCTTGGAGCATGTGAGCACTACATAGCGGATGCAACGCTTGCAACGAAAGGGGTATTATATATATATATATCTATGGTATATCCATTGACTTCTGAACCAGCCGGACAGGGGAAGCAGAGAAGCAACGTGAGCTTGTCGCTAACCGTTCAGGACAGTTAAGAGAGAAAGATACTTGAGGACCTTTTGCTCATCGTTGGACATGGGTCCATTTATATCGGAATGTCAAGCAAGCTAAGTTTTCACGACTAGGCTGTATCTTCAGAAAGCTGCTGGGTCCTCATAGTCTGGCCTTTGTCTGGTGAAGGCCATTATTTTTGCCTAGGGATTTGTTGGTACTCTTCCATGAACCAGGAAGCAAAGCTTTGCAGGTTCGTGAACCCACTGTGTGTGGGGCAGACCAAGAGATCTGCAACAAAAAGGGAGTCCCATGGGCAACCCATGGGAGGCCAGGAAATGTCGTCACCTATTGGTGGTTGGTAGGTCTTTTTGAAGCTGTACAGTAGTCAGGCTCCTCAAGTGAGGGCCACTCAGGCCTCCTCTTCAGGCAGCACCCATTGTTTTGGAGGCAAATTCTTGGGGCAACTACATCGATTTCTTTGGATCAACATCAAAGGGGAGATGGTGTTGGATTCTTATTTGTCCAACATCAGAATCAGATTAGCAAGCTATATCTCATAAAATGTGATGATGGACGGTGGAAGACATTAACAGTCCTGTTGGCACGAGAGAAAACGCGAGTCCAACGTGATCGGATATGATAGGGACATGACATCTGAAGGCGCGGTAAAGCGATTGGCCCAGACCAGCCATTGTTACTGTCTGTTCAGCATTTCTTCAAGAAGCACCGGAACTATTTCCACGGGGCATCCAGGTGTCAGTCGTGGCAATCTTATTGTTTGGCGCCTGCGATTGGAAAGGAGGCTCGAGGAGAAAGGTCCTCCATTGAATTCCTGGGTAGCCGTGGTGGCATGACTAAGCTTTATTTTTTGGCTGATGCGATGCCAACGGAATTATTGCTCCAACAAAGCTGTGCTCCAACAAGACTCCAGGACTCTTGCATCAAGTGTTTGGCAAACTTCGGCAGACGCGCCGGAAGGTGGGTTTGCCCAAATGTCGCAACAAGCCATCATGAGGCAACCCAACGCCATATTCCTTTGTTCCCTTTGTTTTTGGGAGTTGACCGTTCTGCTTTGTTGCACAAAGCACTCAACTCCAGCGCATTGGGACATACACAGCAATTTTAACATGCACCGTTTGTCGTGCACGCGGGCCAATGCCAATTTGGCAACACAATAAGACCCTGTAAGACCGATGTAGAAGTCTCTGGCCAGTCAGTTAAAAAGGGAGTTAAACGGCTGCAGTGTGAATGTGGAGGCCATCACTATTAGGTCTCCTTTCTTTCTTTGGGGGGTAGGAAGCTAGTAGTAACAAGTGCCTTACTTTGGGTGCCTTCATTTTTGGGGAACCAGTCTTTGTTTCTGATGTAATGTAATGACCTCCAACCTAATAGCAATCCAACCTAATAAGGATGGTCTCCCACCTAGTGATGGCTGTTTCCATCCGGCTCACCGCGGCACGTCAGAGTGCAGCGACCTGGGTGACCGGTTGGCTGCCATGGGGCGAAGCCGGCTTGTTTGGTGAGGGCCGTGCTCGACGGTGACGTTGTGTGACTTCTCTTTTCTCCCCTTGGCAGGGCCAAGAAGGATGCTAAGGTGCGACACCTGGGGGCCAACTGTCTGCATTGCAGGGAATGAGTAAGGCTGTATCACTCGAAAGGCGCAGCGCAGCGCTCGCAAGGACGCGCAGGCAGGGAGAAGGACGAAGCAGATTCTGAAAGATGTAGAGCCCTCAAAACATCAATGTTTGACCGCTGAACTGCTGAGGAGGATGAGGTCTAAACCTTGGCGTTCGGCAGTGTGATTTCATGTGATTTCCATATATTATATTCAACACACTTCGGTACCTCATTGTTCAATGCTCCAGAGTAGCTTGGCTTGTAAAGGTAGTGTTTTGAGCACTCAGGATGACACCTCTGGTGACGCCCATAGAGTGCAAAAAACTCTTGCTGTCACTATCCAGTCTGAATTTTGCAGAGTTCAAGTCGGATGCTTTGCTCCTTGCATGCGTGTTCAAGGTCCTCCAAGCGGCAAAGCCAAGAAGCCCGAGAAGAAGAAGGACTTCCTCGTTCTTTTGCTTGATTTTTTGGATGGACGCTGGTAGGCGCCAGGTGTATTGTAATTGTCTAGACTAAGCGAGCACTTCGGGACTTAGAAAGGAAGCTTTGTTCGGGCTCTTCAAGGAAGCTTCTCACATAAGAAAGGGTTCGTAGATATTGGTTTGCTTTTCCGTTTTATATTTCGAGACTTAAGAAGTGCGCTCCAAAACAGCTGCACTAGTTATTCGACCAGAGGTTCTTGTTTCTCAACAGTCCTTGCCACTGGTTTGCCCCAGTCGTGTTTTGTCTCTGAGCTTCTCTCACCGAGTTGTCGGGCCACGGCCAGTGTCCCATTTCTCATTTCCTTTTGGGAACGCCAAAACGAGCTCAGAGGAAAAATGCTTGAACTGAGAGAAAGAGACTAGTAGCAAACAGCTACTTATATATATATATAGTAACTTGAAGCTACTAGGGTGGAGGCCATCTCTATTAGGTTGGAGGCCATTACTACTAGTAGAAATTCCACGTTTCTCAGCACGGCTCCCTGTCCCGTCGGATTTCTGCTGTTTTGGCTGCCGGATCACTTGGTGCCATGCTCTCTGCGGTCGCCAGACAAGCATTGGTCAAGGGGCGCCTGCGTTTGGCTCAGACGATCTGGTTCCTGCTTATGGCTGCCCATTTCTGGTCATGAGGCAGCTATGCTGATGGGGTTCACTGACCATTGTTTCTGGTCCAAAACAATGAATGAATCGAACCAGCATGTTTTGAGCTCCTGAGAGAAACATAGTGTATTTCCGGTCTGCCACACTCTTAGAGTCTAAGCGAGCGTTAGAATAAAGGGGGCCGAGGCAAATGTAATTTTATATACCTTCTATTTGGCCAGGATAAGGGCATGGACGCATTTGAGCAGATGGAGTTGCAGAGGTGCATCCAACTTTGGGCACCGCTGGAGCTGCGGATTTGTAAGTTCCTTGTGTTCTCTCCGAAAAGATTTGGCTTCCATCAAGGCACAGTAGGGTTTGTTTCCCCTCTGGGTGTATCTCCGCAGGCAACGCGAGGCTCGGCAGAGAATAGTGGCGACCCAAGAGGGAATTCGCGTGAAACGCGCGGGGTGAAACGCTTCAGACTCGAGACATCCAAGCTGGGCACGATGGCGCGTCAGTGCAAGTGCCGCAAGCTTGTAGGTGGAACGTTTCCTCCGGCTGATCCTGGTGGGATTTGTTTTGGATGCTTTGAAAGGCTCAGGAAGTGCTGGGAGAATACTGGGGCACTTGACATAGTGGTGTAGCCTGTAGATCAGTGAACATGACACGGGAAGCGAACTGCAGGAGAGGATAGCACCAAGGAGGATAAGAAAAAGAAAGGCAAATGGAGGGTGCTCCATATTTGTTTCAAGATTGTGCTCCTGAAGCATGTCCACAACAAAATGAGAGGATATACACCAGAGTTTGTCTTGGCAAGTGGGCTGATGCCACAGGATACTAGGATACTGTTTGGAGAAGGCATACATGTATCACGTGACGCGCTTCACACAGATTATTTATATGCCTTGGAGCACTTTCAAGCCGTTTTGAAGCCCGAATGCTGACTTGACACCATTCCCTCATGTTGCAGGTAACAGTAAGAGCTCGGCCGGGTGAGTAGCCCAGCGTTTCCGTGTCGCCGTGGTGGCCAATCATGCTTTGTTTCAAGGTCCGAGGGTCTGAGCGTGAAGTCCATCAAAGAGAAGGCTCCAAAAACGGCAGGACTTGACGAATCCGAAGCCAATCCGAATTCCCAAAGCAATGAATCAACCGGGGGGGCGCATCGCTGCACTGCAGGCCAACACGTATGGTGGGCCAGCCGTGATGTTTGCCTTTATCGTTGCAATGCCCAGTCCTGAGGTTCAGCGGAGATTTTTGCGTCCAATGCTATTTTCAGGATCATCAAAGTAAGGGAGTCCTGCAGCATTTGACTTGCCAGAGCGTTGAACAAGCTCCTAGAACTGTTGATAACTTTTTGTATTCTCAGCCAAGGCTAGCAATTCGTGCAGCTGAGGAAGGCAGCTAGTCAAGTGGTTCAAACAAAAGGATTTGCCACTTTGGCATTTGCTTCCTTTGGAATGCAGCATCAAATTAGGTCAGAGGTCCGAGGACAGGCATCACAACCACATTTTTGACCAATTCTTGGTTACCAGGTTGTTTGGTAGCTTTGTGGGTAGGAACAGCCACATTATTTCATGTTGCAACCTAAAGCAGCAGTTTCAAGACCTAAGACTCTTAGTTTAGGTCGTTTTGTGTTTCGTTGTTTGTGTTAGCGTCTTCATGCAACACAAAAGCACTGTCGTTGCTCAGCAGCACATTTCCAGTGGCAAAACTGTTGGATGGTGATTGATACTCAAGGCTACCATCCTGCTGACCATGATGAGCATGAGGCTGCTGGAAGAAACATCAGATATGTTTTGTGTGTTTGTTTTTATTCATTCTTTTCAGCCCAACTTTGGTCTCGGTTTGGCGGTTCAACTTCTGTCTCTCCTGTACCAGTTCAACTACTACGAGGTCATGGGCTTGACCAAAGGCCGAAAAAACACGTAGACCTTCGACTCTTGAGTCGTCATTCATGACAATGACAGGAGTAGATCAGATGGAGATCCGCAAAGCGTACAAGGCCCCTATGCCAGATTTGTGAGGACGTGTTGTGTTGCAGCAACCGTGTTGCATGCGTGCCATTGCTCATGATCCTTGCCATTTCATGCCAGAGAGTGCGACCGCACTCATCTACATGTTGGAATGGCGACATCCAACCATCCACGAATTCGTGGGACCGCATCCACAAAGACTCCCTGAGTCCCGTGTAGATATCGCGCACCTTTTGAACTCCTGTAGATATCTCTTCATGAGAACCCTGGTCAACTTGAGAGTCCAGACTCATACAGGAAACCAACGATGATCTTCACAACCCTGATGCAAGAAATCCTAGTGTACACACTTCTTGCACCATCATTTAATCACAAATGCTCAAAGGCTCATCTGGAATTTGTGGCCATTTCGGGTCCCTTTCTCAAAACATTTGAGCACAGATGATTCTAGAGCAGAAACGGCGCCGTCTCTCTAAGCAGTGCAAAGGTGTCACTCAGGGCCTAAACGAAACGTCTTGGCTCCTTCAGTGTTGGATTGGTGCCTCGATCCAGGCGCTTGCCCTCAAGTATCATCCTGACAAGAATCCTGACTGCTCAGAGTGTGGCAGCCTTGAAACTAGCATTGTGGCAAGTTAGCGGAGACTAGCTGGTTCTTGAAGGTTTCCAGCTGAACTCCAGGTGCTGAGAAGTTTGGGAAGATCTCCAAGGCATATGTCTGGCCCCAAGGATTGCCAGCAGGCTGTGATCACATGTGTCCACCCATGGATGTTTTAAGGACACTTTGTCAAACCCAGAGGCACGAAAGGTTCCCCACCGCTGCCCAACTTCTCTCTTTTTTCGACTTGTTTGGCGCTGTTTGGTTGCTGAGATGATGAGATTGTTTTCAGATGAGATCGTTTGGTGAAACCGTTTCTGCTCGCTCCGTGACCGAGCGAGCCAGAAGGTTGAGACAGCCACTGTTCCGCACAGAAAGCAATGACCAAAGGTTACTGAGACATCGAAATCAACAGTCATCGAATCATCATGGTAGAATCAAGAAAAACTATCGTGGTTTCGTTCTGTTTCTTGAACACGGTGGTTGTAAACCTGGATGTCTGAAACATCATCGTGAAAACGTATATGAACGCCCTTTGCTCCAGCACATGATTTCATGACACCAGGTAGATACAATCCGATAGCGCCATGCTCGACTTGAAGCGTGTGGAACTGCGACCATGACCTTCAAAGATGATGAGTCTGACATCCAATCCACGCTGTCGGACGCACCTCCCGACTGGAATTCGGATGATGAGCCACCCGAGGATCATGTGGGGGATGAGAACACCTGCAGCCGTGATGGAGCTGTCAGGAAGGTAATACAAAAGGTGGGGAAAGGCTTGGAGCGACCTGGACAGAATGACATCGTCACTCTGCGCTTCTCGACAATTCAACTGGATGGCTCTGATAATCCTCCTGGTTCCGGCTCCACAGAGAGTCCTGAAGATGATGTTGTCACAGTGGAGATGGGTGACAATCACCTCCCCTTGGCTGTGGAGTTTGCCGTGAAGCACATGCGTGTCGGAGAGGTGGCTGAAGTCCGAGCCCCTGCGGTCTACAGCGCCGTGACCTCCCCGCTCTGCGGGCGCAGCTTGCGGACCCAACCGGGGGTTCTGCCCAAGACGGACAAGGTGAAAAGGAGGCATCGCTTCCTGCCGGCAGCGCCACGTGCCATCTCGGAGCAGGCGGAGTGGAAACACACTGTAATATACTGCATTACTACTAGTAGCAAAAAGCTACTAGTAGCTTCTTGTTACTATAGTAGTAATGGCCTCCAACCAAATAGCGATCGCCTCCACCTAGTAGCTTCTTGTGTAATTGTTTCGGTACTAATTCTGTTCTGGGCGTTTTTACACCCGCTTGCACTCTTGCTGGGGGTTTTGTGATTTCAACACAGACTCTGCGTGCCCATTCAGGCAAAGAAGGATCTTTTGAACTTTCGCAAGGCAAAGCAAGAGGTGCGGAGTGACTGTTTTTTCTGAGAGTGAGCAATCCCAATTCCTTAGTACGAGAAACCGTTCATTGTTGCTGGGATTAGGCCACTGACAAGGGAGAAACTTTGGCTGCCACTTCGCCGCCGATGTTTCGTGCCCGCGTGGAACTCCTGGGCATGGTTTGCATCTTGGCCTTGACGGAGGATCGCAGCGTCACCAAGAGGATCCTCCAAGTGGGATCCTCTCGGCGCCAGTTGGGGCGCCGAGGATTGGTGGTGGTGGAAGATGACTCGGTTTTCTCGGTGGTTTCGGTTTCGCGCGTTTCATGAGAGTCCTTGCTGAGGCCACGAAAAGGTGATGACTGGAGCCCAGTTGAAGGAAGTATTTGCTCACGCCTTTTGCTGTTCAATGTGGTGTCAACCGCTTCTCCTTGGCTGCTTTTGCAAGGTCGTGACCTTCTCCTACTGCCTTGAGGGTGAAAGAGACAGGAAGCCCACTGTTCCGTGGTCCAACTTAAAGCTTAATGCTCTCTGTCTAAATCCGGTGAGTGTGGCTGTGCATTGCTGCTTGCAATTTGATGGGTGAGTTCAAGTGAAATTGATTTCTTGGGGCCTGTTTGCAGGAGTGAAACCTGCACTCTGACCTTGGGCGAGGCCAGAGATGCTGAACAGTTCTGTGAAGCAACTTCGCCATAGACCCTTTTCCCAGACAGCCGGAAGATACAGGCTTTCTTACTGCTCCTAGCCAGGCCGTGATTAACTCGCCTGGAAACCCTAGAACCTACCAGGGCCCTGCTCGCAACTTGTCGCCTGGAATCTTAGAACGAAGATCTGATATGCTCTGATCGCAACTTTTCACCTGGACCCCTGAAACCTTGGAACTCTCGAACCCTATTACTGACCTTGGAGCCGGGCTTCGATCGCAACTTGGAAGCCTGGAAGCCTGGTTCGAAGCCCTGAACCCTGTGATGCTGAAGCCTGGAAGCCGATCGCTGTGTCGCTGTCACCTGATCTCATGACATTCTCGCCCTGCTTGTCTCTTTTCATTCTGAATCTGGTTGGCGGCAAGAGACCGAACGATCGCATCACGCCTCATGAGTTTTCTTATTATTCTATCCAAAATGCAATCATCTGAATCTGGGGTCGCTGTGTTTTGGGACCTTCAGTTCTTTCCTTGGGACCTTCAAACCTTTCGGTTTTGATTGTTTGTTTCTTCCTTACATGCTGTGGCCCTGACCACGTGATGTCAGGACAAGCTCCCATTCAGCGGTCTATATCATGTCCTCCTCTCTATGAAGGTGCGGGTTGTTCTGTATGACACTTGACAAGCAGTCGTCTCAATATTGATCAGCATGCTGATCCATGCTGTTGGTGTTAGTTAGCCCCCTTCGCCATGCTTGAACCAGATGGAATCAGTTCATTAAGGATGGTCGAGTTGAGCTTGCGGAACCCAACATCCTTGCCTTGACTAACTTTCTGGGGCCATAATTGGTTTTGGTTTGGGCTTTTGGGCAACACGAATCCTACATTGGCTGATTTCCGCTTGCATAGATTCTTCTTCCTTTCTTACTCTTGACATTTTTTCCTTTAGACTCTAGGCTGTGTTTTTTCTTTTGCAATTTTTCTTAACTTGACTGCCAATGCTGAATTGAGAGATTTCCTTCAACAAGTTTCTGCTCAAATGTCCCTAGGATTCAAGTCTGTAATCATTGTGCGAGGAGGAAGAACGTTGTCTTGCGTCAGCCCAGCTCTTTAAAGGACAAACCGGAACAAACGATATGCAGTTGAAAGAGTGAGGTGAACTCCTTTTGTTCAAACATACTATACTCTAAAGGCACAATGTGCTGATTTGTTTCTGTGTTATTCATAGACACGAACCCATATTCTGAAAATAGAACATCAGAGCACATCCTCTGTGGTTTGTGAGTTTTGCCTCTTGAGAGCCAACCAGGCGGCTAAGCTCCGCTGCAGCTTTGCCTGAGGCTCTTAGTTTGAGTTTGGCGGACTCGCAATGAACATACTACACTACTGCAAGCAAGCAAGAAGGCAAGCGAGCAACGTTGACCTTATGATCTTCAGAGGTTAAACCACTATCCTGTATAATATATATATATATATTATATATATATATGCGCAGCATCGTAAGAAGACCACGCGCGCAAACTCAGAAGTGTTTATGTTTGGAAGGACTCGGGAGAGGCTGATCCTCCACAGTACTGCTGCCTTGTCAAGCAAGTTTTGGAACATGTGTTTGACCTTCTGACTTTAGTCTCAAAGCGCAGTGTCTCAATGAAGTATTGAACGTTAGACACCAACTTTAAGATCGAATTGGACGATGATTTGGTAAAAAGTGCCAGGAGAAGCTTGGCCGGATACTCAAGTTTGCAAATGAAGTTATAGTCACTGGGAACTGACCTATGACACCAGCAAGCGCCGACACAAGGGTGAATGTGTGCCTCCGGCTTTAATGCCAGCTTGATCCGTATTCCGTTTGCCTGGATCAGTCAGAACATGACAATTTTACGCGCAAAGGAGGTGAGCCTTTTGCGCTGGCGAAGACGCGACCTACTTCCAGTTGGGCCGGAGGTGGTGCTTTGCTGTTTTCTATTTTACTTTGATGCAAGGGATTGCTTTAGAGTGCCTTTTGCCAAACTACTTGAGTTTGGAGATGACGTGAGCTCACCAGAAAAAGGTCTCGTTGCTCACTGAGCATGAGCATACATCCACTTTAGATTCCCGAAGTTGAATCTGGCAGACCCCGCAAAGATGAACCAAATACGGATAGATGATGATGCAAGCGATGATGAAGGTGGCAATCCAATGGATTGGGATGGTGCAGTGCAGCACTTGGTGCTGCAATACTTGGTTTACCGTAGCTGGGAAAGCTCAAGGGGTTTGGAGAGAATACATCGTAGAAGCACTTCATGTGGAGAGAGTTTTATTGCTCCCAAGAATGGGCTCTTTGGTCATGCCTTGGAATCCTGGTGATCGGTGCTGGCACCTGGTATCAAGTCCACTTGGATGTCCGAATTAACTCCTGGTTTGGGGATTTCTATGACTTGCTGCAGAAGGCTCTCGAGAAAAAGGGAAGCCTATCTCGTGAGGAGCTCTATGGAAATATTTTCACCTTCTCACGCATAGCAGCGATTTATATCGTTGTGGCGGTGCTGCTGGCCTTCTTTACAAAGCACTGGACATTTCGTTGGCGTCAGGCCATGAATGACTACTACATGCGTCACTGGCCGCTCTTACGTCGTATCGAAGGGGCGAGTCAGAGGGTTCAGGAGGATACAAGGCTTTTCGCTGAGATGGTGGAAGCGATTGGTGCCACCTTTCTCCAATCTGTACTCACACTCCTGGCATTCCTGCCGATTCTAATGGAACTCTCCAAGAAAGTGCACGAGCTTCCCTTGATTGGGGAGGTGTCACATCCAATGGCAGCTTTTCTGGAGTCCTGGTTCCTTTTTGGTCAGTCTACACATGGAGACGTGACAAAAACAAAGCCCGTCTGAAAGAGTTTTGTTTGTGAGAGCATACCCGGTGGATCGCCGTTTTTTTCGTGGAATTGCTTGGGCTTGGAGGTGTTTTTTTCCATCCCTCAGGTAAAGCTGACCATTGCCTGGGCACTCTTTGGAACGGTTGGTCTGGGGCTGATTGGCGCTCGACTTCCTGGGCTGAAATATCAGAACCAGTTGGTCGAAGCAGCTCTCCGGAAGGACACCATGTTATACTTTGGTATAACAGCAAACATTTGAGAGCTCGGGAAATCCATAAGTCCATGCTAAAACCACAGGATGGGCTGACCCATGCTGTTTGCAAATAACCTTTCTGGCACTTTCATTTTCAAACTGCCGTCAGCACTCCTGCATTTCCATGATACTGAGTCAGAGTAATGCACAACTG